TGGCATTTCTAAGTCAGCATTTCTTGTCTCAAAGTTTGCATACGGATGCATACTGGGTGGACCTTCTGTCAGGCCCTGAGAACTCTGCAGAAATCCATTTCCCACACCAATTGTGACTACATGGTCCAAACTGTGCACAGTTTGTGGAACACAATAAATAATGGCATTAATGAATGGGGAAGAATCAGATCTAAACCAGATTCCATAGCTCTACTGCAAAGTTCCTGCCACATCTGGAAATGTGGCATGATCTCCCTCTCCCTTGGAGATGCACTGTTAAGAATTTAATTATGGTTCAACCTCTCCACCCTTCCTTTTTTTTTTTTCTTTCTTCTGAGTAACAGACTCAATTTTGGGCTTTTGTTTTCTCTCCAAAAGGTGAAGAAGGATATTGGGGATGTGACTATCCTGGTGAACAATGCTGGTGTGATTACAGCTGCCGACTTCCTCTCGACTCAGGAGCACCAGATAGAAAGGATGTTTGAAGTCAACATTCTGGGTCACATGTGGGTAAGGGCCACCATCATCTCTAGCTACAGATTTTTGGGAGTGTCAATGAGGAGGCATGTTGAGACCAACCATTATTAGCAGTGAAATGCTCAAACGAACTGTTACAGCCCAGGGGCACCTAAGCAGACTGTGTGCTGGGAAAGTGGAATGGTTTCTTCCTGATGTGAGCTGGCTGGAGACAGCCTCATCTGCAGCACACACAGAAGGCCTCTGTCAGAGGAGTTGTGGGGCTGACAGGCTGGGAGGGTTTCAGCAGTTCTTGTTTGTGGCAGAAGAAAAGAGAAGCCATAGATTGACAAGTGGTTCATTGTACGTGCTGGGGGTGAGACCTTGCCAGCATTGCTGCTGACACCTGAAACCTTAAAAGCAGCAAAGGAAAGATGTGAAAACCATCTCCTGTTTATAGCCAACTGCTGGAGCCTTTGGAGAGCAGGTTGCCAGCTGCACCAAGGGTCAGAGAGCAGGTATCCCTGTGGCTCTGGGAGTCTGAGGTGCTGTGCAGCTCGTAGCTTTAGGGATGGCTTTGGCTGCCTAGTGAATAACATTGAGGGTCAGTGCTGAGTATGCCTAAGAAAACAATGTTCTTTTCCTTCTTTCTGTCCCATGCATTTTGCCTCTTGGTTTAAATGACTTCCAAGACCACAAGAGCTTTCCTGCCAGTCATGATGAACAACAACTATGGGCACATTGTCACGGTGGCTTCAGCAGCAGGTCATTTTGTGATTCCTTACATGGTGGTATATTGGTAAGTCATCTTGAAATCAGCTTGCTTAATTTTTAAGATTTTAATTGCATCTTTTCCATCAGGAAGTAACAAGTAATTAGCTCTGACTGAATTGTGAGCAATGTTTGTATGAAGGAATACTCATGTGATATCTATTTTCTTTGGAATTTATTGAAACTTAAGGCCCATGCCGATTTCCGTGGCAGGTCGTACCTCCTCTACATTTTGCTTGCATAATATCCCACTATTTCAAAGCACACACAGTTGATTTGAGATACTCCCGTGTGGTACTATAAGTAGTCAAAGGTTAATCTCCATTTCTACCCTGCCCATCCTTCCTAATTTCAGACATTCATGATGCATTCCTTCCAAGAATCTTCTCTCATGGGAAGAATTGGATGTGCGTCAATTGACACACTCTAGTTAATGTTTTCTAAGATTTCCTGATGTTTTCATCTCTGCTTTGTTTGCCTGTTGACACCCTGTCTACTTTCCACAATTACTCCACAAGTTTCAATGCCTTATGCAGCACTACAATCTGGCACACAGAAGGGTAATATAGTCCTTGCTCTGCCTGGATTATTTGTGGATATAATATATATCCATATAATCCTGGATATGCCTTATGCAGCACTACAATCTGGCACACAGAAGGGTAATATAGTCCTTGCTCTGCCTGGATTATTTGTGGATATAATATATATCCATATAATCCTGGATATCTCTGCTTGGCTGGATTATTTGGAGGTTTTTGCATCCTACCCTTTACTGTGTGTGTATGATTGTTTAAGCCATTTGTAGTGGTAGAAAGGTGGAAATAGGATTTCTGTCTTCTCAATAGTGACCAACCAGAAAATGGTTTTTGTTCCACCACAGCTAAACATTGCTTTGTTTACTGAAATGTAAGTACAAAGGACAATTAAACAATAGATGTGGAAACAACAATACTACCTGAGCATACAAGGTTCAAACTTGTAACCTCCGAGTCAGCAGAAGTTCCAGAAGGAGCTGAGGACCTGCTGCTTATTAGGTTTTGTTTCTTTATGTCAGCACTGAGGCCACAGAGCCTGAGAACATTGCTTCAAAAGGACTGTACTGCTCTCTGCTATGTAAAGCAAGATTTATCCTCCCACACAACTTAATTATCCAGTGCAGCTGCTCTGTGGAGGTGTTTTTACCAGAGCTCCAGTTCCAAATCTGGAATTCACATCCAAACAACTAAGTTAGATTCTCAGTTAAATCCTATAGTATCTCATTAAACACTTGGTAGTTTCTTGTTTGCTAAACCAAACACCAGGCAGTGGGAAAAATATTTTCAATAATTTTGGATCTCCAAGAGCTGTTTGTTGAGAGTGCAAGTCTGCAGAAGCATAGGCAAGTCAAAACTGATGCTGTCAAAGCACTTAGAATAACTGCATTTTTTGGTCATAATTTAGGACAGGGGGATAAAGAGACAAAGCTCTTTAAAAGGAGGAATCTTAGGAGTGAGAACTCCACCTCAGTTTGAAAATCTCATCCTTCCACAGGCCTGCTGCTTTTCAGAGCATGAAATGTAATACACACCTACATATGTACAATATTGAAACTTTCTGGATTCTGCAGCAGTATTGCAGTTCACATACTGCCCACAGATACCTGGCATTGGAACTGTCCTAAAAGGCCAGGAATGGACTTCAATTAGTCAGAGATTGATGAGAGCTATGGAAACAATGCCCAGTTTAATACATAGTCTCAGTTCATATGTGTGCATGCATTCTGCTGCCAGACCAGCTCTTCCCTCACCTGCAGTGACACTTTTCCCCATCATTTAAGTTTCTATCCCACTTTTCATTTCATGTTACTCTCTCTTCCAGGGTGTTTCCAGAACGTGCCCTGAACCTTCTGAAGAAGATCTCTGAGGTCAAGTTTGATGCCATCATTGGGCAGAGAAGCACCCAGTGAAAAGGAAGAATTGATTCTCATTTCCCAGAGGCACCAATGAAAAGAGAACATGTGCTGAGTGTATTTCAGCTGCCTTGATTCAGAACAGAGCTCAGGCAGCTGCTTCCAGGCCACCATTCCCAGGCACACCTAAGGGCTTCTCCCACACCTGCAGCTGGAACACACCTGCATAACAGGGAGTGTTAGCAAAGCAGTGATGCAGCTCTAGAAGGGCTGCTTTGAATGTACATCCCATCACCTTTGTCTCATTGTGCTGAGGCAGGCAGGAATTCCCACAAAGGTGGATAGCCTGTTTTCACCTCAGTTTATATCGTTGAATTATAAAATGCTCTAATGAACACTGAATTTCCCATATTTTTGTAGGAAATACCTGAAATAATACAGGTGTATATGTAGTATACCTAATTACATAGATTATCAATTATACATTTGCACCATCAATATGCCTTTATATGAATAAATGCAGTTCTTTAACACAAGGACCACAGTGTCTCTTGGCAGTGAAAGTCATAATCAGGTAGCCTGTTTTCACCTCAGTTTATATCGTTGAATTATAAAATGCTCTAATGAACACTGAATTTCCCATATTTTTGTAGGAAATACCTGAAATAATACAGGTGTATATGTAGTATACCTAATTACATAGATTATCAATTATACATTTGCACCATCAATATGCCTTTATATGAATAAATGCAGTTCTTTAACACAAGGACCACAGTGTCTCTTGGCAGTGAAAGTCATAATCAGGTCCTAGAGATGCATTGAAGGTACAGCATCAAGGAATACACCTTTCCCTGTATCATTGCTCACACTGCTCCTCTGCACTTTCCAGACATCTTCAAAACACCTTCTCATGAAAACAGTGCTGTGTTTCTCTACAAATGTCTGGGTGCCACAAGTGCAACCCATGCAGGGGCCAGGGCTTAAAGGCAGTGCCAGGGCAGG